AAAAAACGCTATACAAAGGATTAACTCTAAACCACATGGTTTTATCATGTGATCTCCAGCTCTTAACCTACCACAGTCAACACTCAAGAAATATTTGTTCAGGCCAGGGATGTAGCTCAGTGGCATAAACGCTTGCCTGGCAAGCCTGAGGTCATGAGTTCGATTCCTGGTACCAAAAAAAAAAAAAAACTTTGCATATCTTTGGGGCGAGGGATTTAGCTCAGTGGCACGGCGCTTGCCCGACAAGCACAAGGTCGTGAGTTCAATTCCTGGTACTACAAAAAAAAAGAAATTTTTGTTCAATGAATGAATGTAATAAGGATATTTCCATGTGCCCATTTATGGCCCCAGAGACGAATCTACTAATCTATCTATAAGTAAAAAAAAAAAACACAGCTCTTAAAGACACATAATATCATATAAGTCTGTTTTCCCATCCTTCACATTAGTAAAAGGGTTTTGTGTGTGTGTGTGTGTGTGTGTGTGTGTGTGTGTAATGTGTTTTTTAATCTCCAGAAAAGTAGGGACATAAACATTCTTTTATGTCACTTGGTGTGAATACAAACTTGAAAATCCTCGTGGAGGCAAACTTTGGTAATTCTACCCCCAGGAATCCGTTAGCACTGTCTTCATATGCATGCAGAGTGACACGCACAAAATTCTGTTACAACACTGCAATAATCAGATTATAAACCCGCAGTAGATGCTGCTGTCCAAAACACCCATTAAATGACAGTATAATAAAATATTGTACAGCTGTTTTAAAACCTTATATGAAAAGAGTAAGAGTTGAATAAAAAATATAAGAGGCAAAAAAAACCCACACATGTACATAGCCAGGATGTATGCAGGTGACTGGTATCATAACAGTCACTTCTTTAATAAATAATTTGATGCTGTTATGTTTAAACCAAACTCTGAATAATACACCATAATTAAAAACATTCTCTCTGAACAGTCAACTGGAGATGATTCTGCCACTTAAAACACACAGAATGCCATAGACTACTTTTTAAATGTAGGCTGTGTTCACCTACCTGAACTCTTACAACTTGAAAAGCTAAAAAGAACCATACTACTTTTCCCTCAGAAGTGCTTCTAAATCCAATCATCATACAGAAATAATCACTTCCAGACAGCAAGATTTACATATGGGACAAATATTGGCAGAAAAGAAAGTGAAATTTCATTTATGAGATATTATGTACATTTCCTGGATGAAATATCAAGCTGTTTACCCACACCATTGTTTCCTAGGTCACCACCCCTCCCGGCGTTATCTTTTAGCCTCAGCAATGAAATACTTACTAAGGAACGTGAAATTTTAGAAGTAAACACTAAGGGGTATCAATTTGCTAGTAATTCCCAACAGAAATTTAGCCTAAGGATTAAAAAAGAAAAGAAAAGGGGTGACAGCTGATATTCCAGACAGCTCTATTCAGGTTTATGAATGATTTACTCTTTAGGGTGGCAGGACTTAATGCAAATGAACACAGAGGAAAACTGCACTGTGATCTAACCAATAGAAGCACAGCTCCATCTTGGCTGTGCACTAGACTGCGTTACAAACAGACGATACCATCGCTTCAACAGCACCCTTTCAGACAAGAGGTAGGTTTATACCATCTTTTTATTTGGTAATCCGTGTCCTTATGATACAATAGAAAAATATTTTAGCATGAAAATCAACCAGAAAGCTTTGCTCCTTCTTAACACCCAAAAAGGCAATTATTCATTCCATTGCTTCCTAGGATTTTATTATGAAAATATGAAGAATGCCTTGTGCTATTTGATAAGCACGCTTACCATCTGTGCTTTAATGGAAAATTCATTACATTTTATACAAACATGATCTATATCCAGACTTTAAATAAATCAAAAACATTTGATGTTAACTAGCTACTTGCTAATTTCAGTTTCCCACAGCAATTTCATTTCAGCAGTTCGGTCTGTCTTAACAAAGGATTTTTCTTAAAGAAAAATCTAGACTAAAAGCAAATCCTGGGCTAAAGCTTTCTGATTATGTGTGTAGATTATCTTGGCTGATAAGAAAGCAGCTACTCACAAGAAAGTTTGCTGTATTTTAATAAATATGACAAAATAGTTCAAAATTATTTTTATTTGACAATTTGACTTTTACCTAAAAACCAAGACCATAAAATGTATCAATATGTGAGCTATATACTATAATCAAAGATATAGACCTTCAGACTTCCCTTAACATTTTAATTACAATAATTCCTCACAGTGAAATTTATCTTACTGTAATATGTCATGCTATGATTAAATAAAAACATTTTTAGATAGCCTTTCATTATTGATAAACCACAAAAATATGTATTTATCATAGCATTTAAATATAATATTTAAGTTATTCTTAAGCTGATCCTCGGAACAAATACAAAGGAAGGTTTTTTTTACTACATTTTAAAATAAAAATGTCCTAAGAAAAACTGGTTAAGGAATGAAGGTAATTTCAGGTCAAAAAAGCTTACTTTCATAGCTCAGAGCAATCATTCATATCTATTAAAAATCAATAAAAATTACTGACCAAATTTCTAATTTTGTAATGTTCAAACATGAAAATATCACTGTCAGAGCTCCAGGATACATACCATATATACTGACCTAAAGATCCAATTTTACCCTTTATCTTGCTAAGAATATTTAATCATTAAAGCGTTTTTTCATAAGTTCTGTCCCTATTTCTTAGCATTTAGCTAACATGAATAGACTATCCCTTACAAAACCCAAAGGTTCTTGTAACATTGGATCTCTCAGGTTCCACACATGGGGTTAATTACCTAGAAACCATTCCTGTTTGCTATACAAAGTATGGAAGACAAAAATAAAAAGTCCCAGATAGCATAATTTTGTCAAATATAATAGTTAAAACTTAAATTTCAGGTAAACTATAAACAAACTCAACCACCCACATTGTTTGAACATTCACCCCAGCTTACATTAATTCCATATATCTATAGTTGGCACAGATGAAAAGCAGACTTAAGAGGCATGGCCTACCTCACAGCTGAAACTGCTCTACATTAAAGTTATTATGATTAATTGAGCATTTCAAACGGTATGCTTAAAAGCAACAGAGAATTCAATTCAAGGATTTTTACCATAAACAGACACCAAGGTAACTTTATTCTCATTTGGCAATCCAAAGTTCTAAAACAATTCCATCCTATCTCTATAAATATTCCACTGGTGCCTCTTAAAATAGGAAAAATAGGCGAAGGAAATACATCAAAAATAACATCAAAAATATACACACAAGTACATTACTTGGTTTAAAGCTCCCCTGTTCCTATAATGAAAATTTTTAAAGGGAGAGGGAAGACCCCAAAAGTACCATACATTTTTACTTTTTCTCCTTATGATTTCTCTTGCTTTTTATAATGCATGTTTATAACATTTGCTTTATATAAAATTACATTTTAGTTTCAAAATATAATCTCAACATGGGAGAACATTCTAATAGTATATTTCTTTTTGTATGCCTAATTCATCGAACATTTTGTTGGTGGTGCTGGCAACTGAACACAGAATTACATCCCTGTCCCTTTTGTAATTTTACTTTTATTGTGAGTCAGGGTCTGGCTAAAGTGTGTAGAATCTGGACTAGAACTTGTGATCCTCCTGCTTCAGCCTCCCAGATTGCTGGGATCACAGGCTTGTGCCACCATGCCTGTAACACAAAAAAATTACTAGAGCTCATCTATATTTTGAAGGAATATATGACACTAAATTTAAAGTAGAAAATGGTAGAACATCATGGGGTTTACCTTTTTTCAGAGGAGCTAAGATATTAAGACAAGAATTCTTTTTGAGTGGCTCATCAGTTATCAATATACTAAAAAGTTGCAAACCATCATAATTCGTAACATAAACCTGACATATATACACTTTTTGCTAAATGGTTTAGAAATTCCCAGCAAAGCGTACACATGCTTTTAGAGGTGGCATACACTGCTATCCCACAGTCATTGCAAGCATAATAATTTTATGCATTTTTATGTGTGAATAAAGTATAATCTAATCAAAATGAATGTTTACAGAGCTGAGGATGTAGCTCAGTGGTAGCATGCTTAATACGTGCAAGACCCTGGATTTAATCCCAAGTACAAAAAAAAGCTTACTAATTCTAATTTTCTAAAATTGAAATATGACACAATAAACATTTAAAAGCTAAAGGCAAGAAACAGCATTTTTTTTCCTTTCCTTTTCAAATACATTATTTTTGTTTTAAATAATAAATTTAAGTTGTTCAAAAACCAAAAGAACTATAACAAGGTATAAACTGGTAAGTCTCAGACATTTCCCTGTGCCCCTACTCATTCCCACCAAGCCTCACATTGTTATCAACATCTTGTAGATCATTACAAGATTTTTGTGCAGACAGAGCATATCCCCTTTTTCGTATAGGCACACTATTTTGTACCTTGTTCTTGTCACTTAACATGTCTTAAAAATCTCTGCATAACACTACAGAGCTATTTGTAATTCTGTGGAAACACTATCAATTTAGAGTTCCTCGGGTATGGTGGCCTATAATCCTAACACTCAGGAGGATCACTGTGAGTTCAAGACCAGCCTGGGCTACAAAGTGAGCTCAAGGCCAGCCTGAACTATAAAGTGAGCTCAAGGCCAGCCTGAACTATAAAGTGAGACCCTGTTTCAAAAAGACCAAAAAAAAAAAAAAAAAAGAGTTCATGGCTGGTATGGGTTAACCTTAAATAACTGAACCTAGCTGTGTTTCTGTCTGACTGCCTTCTGCCATCCCTTTCCCTTCCCTTCCCCCTCCCCTTTTACTTCTTAGGGGCAAGAAGACCTCAAAAAAATGTAAGCAGTTCACTTATACCTCAAAAATATAGTATATGAGATTCCATAGGCCAATGTTCTAATCATTCTAAAATTTCATTTTAAAATGGTAAATTCTGTTAGTCTTTACCATTTCCCCCTTCTTAAAGTCAAAACAAAAAGCTCATAATAAATTAAAATAGAAAATAATAACTTAAGAGTCATGTATTCAGGTACAAGTCATAGATTTATATAGCCAATTTCTATTTTTGTGTGTGTGTGTGTCTTTTTGAGACAGGGTTTCGCTATGTAGTTCAGGCTGGCCTTGAGATCACTTTGTAGCCCAGGCTGGCCTTGAACTTGCAACAATCCTGCCTCAGCCTCCCCCGGGTGCTGGGATTACAGGCGTACACCACCACGCCCAGCATAGCCTATTTCTAAAAGAAAAGAAAAACAAGTTTATTATGGGATGAAAATAAGATCTCAGAAGAGGCTTTAAATTTACATAAACGAGGTATCTAAAATCAATTCTGAAAAAAACATTTTAAACTAAGTTCATTAATAGCATGGATTAAACTAATTTGTAAAGTCTAGTATACAGAAAGACTGCTCTTTGCCCTTTTCTCTCCCTGTCACTGTGGGCTCTGAAGTTACTTCTAATGCGTGGTGTAGAAACCTTCAAGAGAACCTGTCACACGTATTTCAAAACAGGACGGGACTGGGGATGTCGCTCAGTACTGAGTGCGTGCCTAGCATCCACATGCCCTGGGTTCAATCTCCAGCACCAGGAGGGAAAAACCTCAGAGAAAGGTCAACCTGAAAGGCCCTAATAGGAAGTCTAAGAAATAGTTCCCATAAATGCAAGAGGGATGGGGGCTCTAGGTTAGCACAGATAAATTTACCATTCGATAAATCCTCAGATGTTTCTTCCTGTGATTTACTCACAGAGGCGGCTCCACTCTATTTCCCAAGGTCCTACACTTTCTCTCCCTGTTATACTGAGATAAAAACTGCAACAATGTCTGGTACCATCCCAGGAATATCTGCATTTCAGCAGTGCTAAAAATCTTACAAGAAGCTCCAACCACTAACCATTCTTAAGATTAGTGCGCACACATGCGCCCTCCAGTGCCTTCACTCTATTAAGGCAGACAGGTCAAAAAGGACTAACTTTTGTCTCCACAAAGTACATTTCTGTGAGTTGAATGTTTGTGTGAGCGGTGATTAGAACGCAACCGTCAGGTGTGCAGCCAGCCTGCCAGGACATCCACACTGCACTCCATGCACGGCACCCCACCACACAATATGAGCTGTGTCCCAGAGCTGTGCAAGGTAGCAGCAGCCCTGCCTTCCCTAAGAATGTGCTCTGCAGAGAAAACTCGAAGGACAAGCAGGTGATTTTGAAAGGCTGAGTGTACAGACATAGTATGAAAACGCCGTAACGTAATGAGAAGTGACAGACCTATATTCCACGCTAGGTATTTCCATATATCCCTGAACTAATAGAAACAATTAATTCAATTACTGCCCATTAAGTCTGCTTTCCCTCTCTTGAAGATGGAAGGTCACTAAGGACCATGAAGGCATTCTCCTTTCCAAGAGAAAACACACTTAAGCCTTTATCACGTTAACCTTCAAAATGCAAGAAGGAGAAAAAAGTCCATGAGAGAGGTGAAGCAATTTGCCAGTTAAACTTGATTTATGATAGAAAACAAAATCTTAGAAAACATAAATTTATCAACCCCAAAGTTTAAAAAGAAAGACAGTGAGGAGGAAAAAGCAGATACAAGGTTTTTGTAAGTAAGAGGGGTTTAAAGGAAGTGAGGGAAATGAGAAAAAAGAATCAAGATATATCATGTACAGGTATAAATTCTCTATGATGCATGTGATCATGTATATCTAAAATGTACCAATAAATTTAATTAAGAAAGATTAAAACCTTCAGAAAAAAGAAAAAACAGAATGAAATACTATATAGCAACTAAAAGTAAACTATCAATATCTCACAGATAAATTTCACCAACTTTATATTAATTAGAAAAAAGACACCAGGGGGCTATGCATGGTTCCATTTCCATGAACAGGAGAAACAAATCTAGAAGTGATAGAAGCCCCAACAGGGATAACCTCTGGGGATAGGGCTACTGACTCAGGTGCGGCCTGAAGGAAACTTCTGGTCAACCCCAAAGTTTTAAAATTCTATATATAGCCAGGCGTGGTGGCACACACCTGCAATCCTAGCACTAGGGGAATTTGAGGCCAGTCTGGGCTACAAAGTGAGTTCAAGACCAGCCTAGAGTGCACAGAGACAACTTGTCTCAAAAAAATAAATAATATGCCGGGCATGGTGGCGCACGTCTGTAAGTCTAGCACTCAGGAGGCTGAGACAGGAGGATCACTGCAAGTTTAAGACCAGCTTGGGCTACAAAGTGAGTTCAAGACCAGCCTGAGCTGCATAGCAAGACCCTGTCTCAAAAAGATAAATAAATTATATAAATTCTAGATATAATAAAAGCAAGGAAATGTAAACAACTATACTGTTATGGACTGAAAATAGTATTGTGCTTATGTTTAAAAACATCACTTCTAGATCAAATAATGTATGGGACTTACTTTAAAATAGTCCACAGGATGGAATCAAGTGGCAAATATATAAGGGACAAGAATTGATAAATGAAATTGTATTGTAAGTGCATGGACATTCATTACACTCTCCCTCACCCCAGTCTTCAGTATTGTGAATTAAACCCAGGGACTTTTCACTGAGCTATTTCCCCACCCCTTTTTTGAGATAGGATCACAAACTGCCCCAGGCTTGAGCCTATGATCCTCCTGCCTCAGCCTACCAAAGTGCTAGGATTATAGCCATGAACCACCATGCCCAACTCATACATTCTTATACTTCTGTACTACGGAAGTTTTCTTTATATGAACCACATACACAAAAAACACCTCTAGAATTTAGAAAAGTATTTGGCAGACAGTGGGCAATAAATAAACATTTCTTGTAAGGACAAATAAAAGTTTGGTTTACAAATATGTAGTAAAGAAAAGGCATAGAGCTGGGTCGGGTGGCAAAGGCCTATAATTTCAGCTACTATGGTGACTGAAGCAGGAGAATGTAAAGTTCAAGGCTGGCCTGGGCAATTTAGCAAGACTCTGCCTCAAAACAAAATACAGAGAGTGGCGCCTTGGTTCATGAACCAAGTCGGACAGAAACCGAATCAAATTCAATGGTTGGGTTCAATGCTGCACCTTATGGAGAAATGTGATTCACTCTTACCAGTTCTTTTGAAATCGTAGACACAATTGAGTTGATGAACTCAAGAATCACTGTAATAAGATCAGCACTCTGGAAAGCTGGAACAAGGAGGACTGCAACTGAAGCCCAGCCCAAACAACAGTAACTTAGTGAGACCTTGTCTCAAAATAAAAAATAAGGGACTAGAGTCGCAACTCAGTGCAAAGGCCTTGGTTCAATCCCTAGTACCCCTCCCCCCCAAAAAACAAGGATGTAACTCCGCATTCCTAGGTCTACTTCCCAGTACCAAAAAAGGAAAAGACATACAAAATTATAGTAATCAATGAGTTAAGAAAATAGAATTGGTTTTCTTCTCTTATTTCCAAAATTTTCTTATAGGTCTTTTATAATCTTTAAAAATTAACTTAAAATAGATTTTAGAAGATCAAAATAATCCAAATTCATTGAGTTTTTCATTACTGTTTTTCTATACTATCAAATTTCAATCCTTACATTCCCATTTAAGGTCTAACAAGTATCAGGTAAACACAAGCAAAACTTAATGACAACAATACTGAAGTCTAACTCACCAGTTTATTGTGTGAAAGGAAGTAATAATAACTAATAATTCTAGAAAGGTCAAATTTGTCTGCATTTTTAAATATTAGTGTCCACGCATCATTTTTAGGTTATATGACACATGATTACTGCCTACAGAACAATCAATCTCAGGATTAAGGCTCTTTACAGGTAACATAGCCTAAAATGTTACTTTAACCTTATTCTGAAAGATCATTTGGTTTTTCTTTCTCTACTATTTTTCCATAAGCCCCTAGTTCCTGATTCAGATCATCTGTTATTGAAGTTTAAAGGTGTGGAAATAGGAAGCAGAAATACACTGAACCAAAAGGTAAGAGAAGCCATAGGGGCAATGACAAAGCTTTTTCTAGGAGCACTCTGAAAAACAGAACGTTCAAATGCCAAGACTTCTTATAGACAACAGTTCACTGACCATAGCTTTAGTCAAGTTTTAAACCAATCCAGTCACCCATTTCCCCTTACATTAGCAGTTAATTTTGTATATTAATCTTAAACACAAATATTTATCTAACAAGTGATATACATAAAAATGAGTACAATTTAATATTTGGAATATACAAAAAAATCAAAAATAAAATTCTATCACTAATTCTGCTAGACAGTAAGGAAAATTTATGTTGCCTATGCAAATTACCAAGAACTCTTAGGACTGAGATTGGAATGGACAAATCTGTAGTTTTGTTACACGCATTCACTTTTTGCCTTTTTGCAGATTCAAAAGAGCAATACAAGAAGCGGAATCTCAGAATGGCTTCCAGTCACTGGAATGAAACCACCACCTCTGTTTATCAGTACCTTGGTTTTCAAGTGCAAAAAGTTTACCCTTTCCATGATAACTGGAACACGGCCTGCTTTGTCATCCTGCTTTTATTTATATTGACCGTAGTATCTTTGGTGGTATTAGCTTTCCTGTATGAAGTGCTTGACTGCTGCTGCTGTACAAAAAACAAAACTGTGAAAGACTTGAAAAGTGAACCTAACCCTCTTAGAAGTATGATGAACAACATCAGAAAACGTGATGCCGAAGTGGTTTAGCCCTCTCCAGAACAGGAACAAAATCTTTAAAAGCAGACTTCAGCCTCTTCCGAGAAAAAAGAATTTCGTGAGGCAAGCTGTTACTATAAAGCTGATTTTGACTCTGAATGATTAAAAGATTTTCAGCAGAAGAAAACACAAGTGAAATATGCATTTTGTGTGGGTATGTGTGTACCTTACATTAAATGTACAGTAAAACTTCATAAATGTGAAATTACCAAAATTTTTAATATGACACTTCAAAATCTCAACAGAATTACTAGTTCTCAATATTGAGCAGCAAAATGTAAACTGGAAAACATAATCAGGGTGATTGATGCTAAAATCATTTATACAACAATGTACATAGATTAAAAAGTACTGTAGACATCTACAGAAATACTATTTAGTAGATCCGTTTCTAAATCCAAAGTAAACTACTTCCATGTACACATGAAGTCCCTAAGTGTATAATATAGCAATATTTTCTAATTTATTGAATATTTTATAATTTATTATTGGCATATTTTAATGATGAGTTTTACGTAATTATTACAAAGTCTCAAAACAATCAGAAAGGACACAAGTACACCTGCATAAAATCATCATCCAACTTGACCAGATGTTTAGCAGGAAGTACATGATCTAGAAAAAGCGCAGACTATTTTCAAACCAAAACTTACTATTACACTCCCAAATAGCAGTTCTTGAGCCTATTCTTTCATTTTACCTCTAAGTTTCAGTCTCTTAAGGACGAAGATACTAAATGTAGAAGAATGCAAAGCAAGTAAAAATAAGCTATTAGAGTCAAAGAGGTATGGCAGTTCTGAGCTGTAAGCTCACCTATGCAGGAGGATAAGACAAGAGGATCACAAGTTTGAGGCCAGCCTAGGCAGCTCAGCAAGACGCTGCTGTGAAAGAAAAAAGGCTTGGAGATGTAGTTTAATGTGAAGCCCTCAATTCAAGCCCTAGTCAACAAATTTTTAATTTAAAAACAGAAGTATGAAAATTTTGCTTCTGAAATTCCAAGCGCTGTATAGATATTATTTTATCACATCAATACTGTCTTGCTATTACCCCTGAAGTAAAACAAAGCATGCTCTTAACCTTTACACTCCCTGAGACCAGAAATAACACTCTTGGAAATTTAATCTGTGAAATTAGCCCAAAAGAATAAAGCATACCATACAAACAAAGGTATCATTCAAAAATCACACACACACCCACAAAAACCTAAACCTTTAAATGTAACACATCAACAGATTATTAAAAAACTACTCAATTCTATGAAAAAACAAAAACATTGAGTACATGAAGTGAAAAATAAATTCAAAACAAAAAACTTTTAATAAAATTATAGATATTGTTACAAAGTTACGTACATAATGCGTAAAGCCTAAAAACAAATATGGAAAAATTGAAACAGCTGACATGTTAAGAGAACTGTGTGGGAGAAGAATGTGCTAGGAGTGCTGTAAAGGACTTTTTTTTTTTAATCTCCATTACTGATGGAATGGTTTTTGGGGTTTTGGTTTTGTGTTTGTTTTTTGTTTTTGCAATAATTAACCAGGCAGTGAAAAGAGGGGAACAGAGACCTATTATTTTCATTTCAAAGATTCTTAATTAAATCTCAGCACTTGGGAGGCTGAGGCAGGGCGATCTCCACAGACTCAAGGCCAGCATGGAATATATTTGTGGTTTTTTTGTTTGTTTGTTTGTTTGTTTCTTTTTTGTCTTTTTGAGACAGGGTCTCGCTATGCAGTTCAGGCTGGCCTTGAGCTCACTCTGAAGCCCACGCTGATCTCAGACCTGCAACAATCCTCCTACTTCAGCCTCCTGAGTGCTGAGATTACAGAAGTGCACCACCACGCCCAGGTCAGCCTGGAATACATAATGAGACCATGTCTAAAGAAGAAAAATCCATAATGGATGGTCTGAAATCCCTATTCCACGAAGTATTTTCCTTTTATAATTCCAGCAAAAATAAATGCAAATGATATAACCAACTTTCAGAGGACTTCTGAAACTTAAATACATATATAAAATACTCTGATAACCAAGAGTTATTCTGAACACTGTCAAAACCACACTTTGTGCTTCCTTTGGTAGCACATATAGTAAAACTGGAATGATACAGCGATTCCACGGCCTCTGAACAAGGATTACGCAGAAACGGATGAAGTGTTCCATATTTTTAAGGAGAAAAAAAAATAACCCACATCTTCACTAAAGATGGAGTCCTTACCACAGATGGGCCCTTTAATAACTAAACTGTTTAATAACATATACTATCAACTTTTCACCAACCTATTCTGTAACTTATTTGGCCATTCAATAAATATTGAGTGCTTACCACCTGTGAAAGATTAGGCCAGATACCAAGGGTACAATGGCAAAAAGGACTCAGATTATTACAATAATGTTTCACAGTTTTGTCAGTGAATAGTAAGTGCTATGAGAACCCAAAAGTTAAGCACTGAATCCAGGTTGACGAATGAGAGTATAATAGTTCCCCCTTATCCATGGTTTTGCTCTCCACAGTTTCAGGTGCCTATGAACCTAAAAGATTAAATAAAAAATTCCAAAAATAGACAACTCATAAGTTCTACATGGCCAACTATTCTGAGTAACATGATAAAATCTCCCTGATCTGTCCTGCCCATCTCAGCTCAGAGAGTTACCTCATAATCCAGTGTATCAACACTGTGTACACCACCCACCAGGTTAGTCACTTATTAGCTGTCTAGGTTGAGATCAACTGTCATGGTATTATAGGGCGTGTGTTCTGGTAACCTTAGGTCATAGCCTAACACTATTTCACAGTGCCTGCATCATTCACCTCACTTCACGTAATCTCACCACACAGGTATTATGTGACCTACCATCACAAGAGTGTAGTACAGTATTTTGAGAAGGAGACTATATTGACATAACTCTCACAACAGTATGCTGTTGTATCTTACTACTGTAGTTGTTAATTTCTTACTATGCCTAATTCATAAACTGTATCAAAGGTAAGAATAGGAGAAAGCAAATTATATATAAGGTTCAGTACTACCCAGTTTCAGGGATCCACTGGGGGTCTTGACATGTATCCTGCTACAGGTCACTAGTGTATAAAAATAAAATAGTGTTGGCTGGGCAGGATGGCACACACCTATAATCCCAGCACTCAGGAGACTGAGGCAGGATTGTTGTGAGTTCAAGACCAGCCTGGACTACAAAATGAGCTCAAGGCCAGCCTGAACTGCATAGAGAGACCCTGTCTCAAAAAAGACAAAAAAAAAAAAAGAATAGGATTTAGCCAAGGGAGGGAGAAAAAAAAAAAAGGTTTCAGGAAGAAGAAATAATATGAGCAAAAGCCAAGAGACAGCAGAGTAAAGCACACTAGAGAAGCGACAAGTTACTGTATCACTAAGAGTTCAGGAAAGGACAGACAAGGTAGTGCATGCATGTAGGCTGCAACACAAGGCAGACTTTATCCAAAAAAACAACGAGAGCTTAACCAAAGACGGACAATTAGATTAGAAAAATCACTGACTGCTGTATGCAGAAGAATACGAAAGATGCTAAACCAGGATGATATAGGAGACAGGCAAGGCTGACAGTTACTTAGTCCAGGAGTAACTACAAGGAGCTGACCCCTACCAACCTATGACAAACATGTGCAATGAAAGGAAGCCACCCTTCATTGTTTTAGGACACGGAGACTTTGGGATTGTTACAAAAAACTTTACCCTACCCTGGCCAATCAAAGCAAAGTCCTACGCAGGCACTTCCTGCTGTTGCATGGGATTTGTTGTTTGTGCAGATGAAATTCCTACCCACTACATATAATCAAAACTATTTTTTAAAAGAATCCATAAAAGACATTCTTGAGCAGGTCAAGGAGACTAAGCCTAAGAGTGGCTCTGCATTAAGTTTAAAATAGTTTTGGCCTGGCATGGTGGTACATGCTTATAATCCCAGCACTTGGAGGCTGAGGCAAGAAGACTGTTCAAAGCCAGCTAAACAACATAGTAAGACCTTGTCTCAAAAAACAAAAACAAAGTAGTTTTTTTAAATTTTGATATAATTCAGTGTAAACTTCTTTGGCATGAAAGACAAAACTAATGAACAATAATAAGGCTGCTTTGATAAATGAGCTCTAGTTTAACAGGCATTAGTAAAGTAACTTCAAAGACATCTAACAAGACAACATCAACTACTATTGCTACTTTATTTAGTAGCTAAGTAATTTTGGTTGGGAATTACATTGCACTGACCTTGTAATTTAAAAGGTAATAGTTTACACTGGCATGGTGGCACAAACCTGCAATCCTAGCACTTGGAGGCTGAAACAAGAAGACTCCCATGGGTTCAGGGCCAGTCTGGGCTACATAGTGAGTTCAAACCCAGCCTAAAGTACATAGGGAGACCCTATCTCAAAAAGCCAAAAAAACCCAAAAATATAAAAGATATAGTTTATGGGTAAACTTGACCCAGAGTAGACAAAATACTGAAGCAAATATTGAATTTAAATATGAAATTTTAAAAAATAAAAACAGAAAAAACAATGAAAAATTTGTCCTTTGAGAAGATCGACAACAAAAAAGATCAACAAAATTGTCAAAACAGCACAAAGTCCTGAGTTTGATCCCCAGCACCAAAAGAAAAAAAAAAAAAAAAACTGTCAAAAGAAGATTAAGAAAAAAATAAAACACAAATTCCTAAAATCAGAAATGAAAATACTCTGAAAAACTTTAGATAATGTACAATGAAATGGATAAACTGAAAAGATACAAAGTACCAAAATTAACTCAAATAAAAGAAAATGTTAAGGCATCTATAAGAAACTATCCTATAGACCTATCCAGAAGGAATGCTCAGACCCAAATGGCTGCAACTAATTACTAGTGACTTCTCCCAAATGTTGTTACTTATTTTTTTGTTTGTTTTGGTTTTTTTCCTGGTTGTGAGAGACAAGTTCTTGCTATGTAGTCGAGACTCGTCTCTGAGGTAGGAGGATTGCCCTGAGACAATCATCCTGCCTCCGCCCCCAGAGTAGCTGGGATTACAGGCATACATCACCATGCCCAGTTTCTGTTTTGTGGTTCTTTTGTTTTTAGTCCTGGGAACTGAACGACTGAACTACGAGCCTTTACACTCAGATATATTTCCCATCCCTTTCTGAGACCAGGGCCTCACTAAATTACAAAGCCCAGGCTGGGCTCATACTCAGGATCCTCTCCTTGCCTCAACTTCCCAGAATGCTGGGATTATAGGTGTGTGTCAACACACCAGGCCTTAATATTGTTAAGAAGACAATTCTCCCCTATGCTGATGTATAGATTCAATCTAATCCCTATCAAAATCCTAGCTGACTTTTTTTGCAGATGTTATTTGACAAACTGAACTGAAAATGTATATGGTAATGCAAAGGGTACATAAAAATGAAGCTAACACTGGAAGGAAGAAAGCCAGCAAGCAACCAACCAGCAAGCAAGCAAGGTAACTGGACTTAAACTTTATTTATTCTTTTTGTGACACTGAAGCTCAAACCCTGGGGCTCCTGGATGCACAGGCCCGTCTCAAGCACTCTGCCCCTGCGTCACATTTCCCACCTGTGAATTTATACTTCTTAATCTCAGAATGTAACCATAATGGTACATCAAGCAGGTAAGTGAGTACTGGCATAAGAACAGACATATTGTCAACTGAGACTCCAGAGAAACTCCTTCATTTGTGGTCAACAGATACTTGAAGAGTGGGCCAATGTAATCCAGTGAGGAAAAGACAGTTTTCCAAGAAACGGTGCTAGAAAAACTGTGCTATAGTTGCAGCTCTTTTCTTTAGATCTACATAATATATTTGAGCTGATTTTTGTGTATAGTTTAACATATAGGCCTATGGAATTAAACTTTAACATATAGGCCTATGGAATTAAA